ACCCATTTTCTTTGGCACCTCTTTCGTCAGCACTGAGTTATTTAAATCCACCTCCTCCTCACTGCTACCATTCCCCCAACCCACCCTGGCCCCAGCAAAAGATCCCTCACTCACTCACTACTTCCCAATGCTCATTGCTGCTCTGATCATGACTGTTTCTGTCCTGTGGGTGACTCTCATCAGTAGCAAGAATGAGAGAGAAACAGCCTGTGATTGGAGGAGAAGCTCCTAACAGATTCTGTCTCCGCTACATTCAGGGCCACCTATTCTCTGATGAATTGCCTCGTGATTGAATTTTCCCTCAGTGTTTTGAGGGTGAATTCACTTACTGGCCCCCAAATAATGTGGTCAGCAGCAAAAACAAAAGCCACATAGTTCAAGGGCAATTAGGGATGAGCAACAAATGTTGGCCTTGCCAGTGATGCCCACATCTCATGAAAGAATTTTTAATATGTGCTTGGTACATCTGATAAGTTTGGTGGATTGCTTTAATATCACATGTACTGAAGTACAGTGAAAAGCTTTGTTTACAAGCAGATCATAGTAAGCAAGGATGTACATATCAAAGGTTGTAAAAAGACTTAGACAGAGGTATACAGTTTACATTGCACAAGGCATGCGCTAGGCGAGATCAACATTAGCAAGATCAGCATTATTTGAGGCTAGAAAATCCATCATCAGTCTGATAACAGCTGGGAGGAAGCTGTCCCTGAACCTGCTGGTGTGTGGTGTTCAGGCTTCTGTATCTTCTGCCTGACAGGAGAGGTTGTAGGAGATCATTACCAGGGTATATTGGGTCTTTGATGATATGGACAGCCTTTCCAAGGCAGTGAGTGATGTAAGTAGAGTCCCTTGCTTCCGTGATGGTCTGGGCTGTGCTTATCACCTTTTTTAGTTTCTTGCGGCCCTGGGCAGAGCAGTTGCCATACCAGGCCGCTATGCACCCGGACAGTATGCTTTCAATGGTGCATCTATAGAAGTTGATGAGGGACCTTATGGACATGCCAAATTTCCTGAGCTGCCTGAGGAAGAAGAGGCGTTGTTGTGCCTTCTTGACCGTCACATTTACGTGGGAAGTCCAGGGCAGGTCATCGGTTATCATCACTCCGAGGAACTTGACACTGTCCACCCTCTCAACCTCAGTTCTGTTGATGTAGATGGGGGCGTGTTCTCCTCCTTTCTTTCTGAAGTCAGTTTGGAGAGTGTTTCTTCCGAACTGAGACCCCAACCTTAAAAAGTACAAATATTTACTAGTATTATTTTAAAAATAGCGAACTGGTTTCATCTTTTTCATCTGTTAGTGACATAAGAGGCAACCAGCCTTCTTTTTAACCTCCTTCACAAAGCATAAAGTAAAAGCAAAGTGAAAATTTGCATTTCTCACAACCTCAGGATGTACCATTACATTCTGCACCAAGTTTGAAGGATGTAAACAGGAAATGCAGTTATCAGTTTGCACACAGCAAGGTCCCACTGAAAGAAATGAAATAAATGGCCAAAATCATCTTTTTATTTTCTTGTCATTTGAAGGATAAGTATTGGCCAGACACTGGAGGAACTCCCCATTTCTCCTTTCAGTACCTATTATCTCCACCCAAGACAGCAAATAGGTCCTCACTTCAGTGAAAAGCAGCATCTGTGACAGTGCAGTACTCCTCCCTAGGGCCTGGGGATTACATCAGGGCCAAGTATTTCAGGCCTGGGACTCTAGGAGCCACAGTGCTCAGACCCAGGCTAGAAACAGCACCAGGGTCAGTGATTTCTGTCCCTGCTGCTCCCTCAATATTGCACTGAAGTGGATTAATAGTTCAAGTTTCTGTAGTGGATTTGAACCGACAATGATCTAACTCAAGGGAGAGAAATGTAATTCAGACATGGCTTTCAGCAGATTTTGCTCTGGGCATTCCCATAACAAAGTCTTCTCTTATATGAAAAAGTAGCTGGATGTAGTGGGGGAAAGAGTGTTTACATCTTCTACTGGTTCCCCAACTGGATATTAACTCGTATTTAGAACCACATCTCACCCCTTTCAGATAGTTAAAACCAGCAGAGGAAAAAAATATCAGAGAAACTTAAGGAATCAAAATCCGATTAATCTTCAGGACCTTGTGGCCTACGTCTTAGGATTCTAAAATTTAAAAAAGCAGCAGAGATGGTGATGCACTTGCAGTAATTTTCAAAAATTCTCTAGATTCTAGAACTTTCCTAGTGGATTGGAATTTAGGAAATGCAGTACTGCTTTTCAAGGAAGGAGAGAGAGACAAAACCAGGAATGACAGGCCTGTTCACACAACATCAGTCATCGTGGAAAGTACTGACATTTTTATCAGCAAAGTCTTAACACTGCACCAAGAAAATTATACAAAGTAAATGTGGTTTTATTGAAAAGGAGATTGTGTTTGATGAATTTATTTTGAGGATTTAACTAGAAGGGCGGATAAAAGGGGTACAGTAGATGTAGTATAATTGCATTTCCAAAAGTCACTTTATAAGGTGCCACGCAAATGATTAATTGGTCAAATAATGGCTCATGGAGCTGAGGTGATATGTTAGCATAAATAGTGGACTGGGTAATGAACGTGAAGCAGAGAGTAAGGCTATGCTGAGTACAATACTGCAGGAATCAGCACTGGAACTTCACCTGTTGAGAATGTATATTCATGCCTTTAACATAAAGGCAGAAAGTGATGCATCAACATTTGCTGACGATACAAAGTTGGCTGTAGAAATCAGAGATAGGAGATAGCAAGAACTGCAGATGCTGGACTCAGAGTCAATACCCTGTGGAGCTGGAGGAACTGATGAAGAGTCCTAACCCGAAATGTCGACTTTCCTGCTCCTCTAATGCTGTCTGACCTGCTGTGTTCCTCCAGCTCCACACTGTGTTGACTTGTAGAAATCAGAGTTGTGACCACCCCACGGGTTGCAAAGAAATGAAGTGACAGGGGACCAAGCTGATAGATGGAGTATAATGTGGAGAATTGTGTGGCTATTCACTTTGGTCATACTAATAAAAATCCAGAATAACTTCTAAAAGACGCAAATTTTTAATCATTGCTGTGCTGTTCTTGTGCATTCTCATACGAAGAATACAGGAAGTTAATTCCTGCACAACAAGTGATTAGGATGACAAAAGGCATGTTGGCCTCTATTGCGAGATGATTGGAGTATGAGAATGAAGAGCTCTTGGTATAATTCTACACTGTATTGAGACCACACCTGGAGTACTGTGTGCAATTTTGATCTCCATTTTTAAAAAAGCAGACACTTGTTATTGGACACAGTATAATGAAGGTTCACTGGTTTGGTTCCTGGGTAGTGGAAGTTGACCTATGATGAGAAACTGAATAATTTGGGTCTATATTCCCTGTAGTTTGGAAGAATGAGAGGCGAGCTCATTGAAATGTACAAGATTTTGAAGTAACTTGACAGGTTGGACGGTGAGAGGTTGTTCCTGCTGGTGGAGGATACAGTGGCACTGTCTCAGGATAAGGAGTCAACCAATTAGACTGAGACGAGAGAAATCTCTTCACTCAGAGGGTTGTGAATCTTTGGAATTGTCTGCCCTGGGTGGCGGAGGTGGTGGATGGTTTGGTTTGGTTAGCTCAGGTGCAGAATAAAGCTAGCAGTGTGGCTTCAATCCCTGTCCCAAATGCAATAGTTCATGAAATCCTGCCTCCTCACCTTACCTCATCGCTTGTGGAGTTGTCACCTTCAAGATATACATAACCAATTATCTTTCTCTAACAGAGAGGAATGTCTATGATCCTTTGTGGACTATGGCTCCTTACTTACCCCAGAGAGTTTGGATGTTCTATTGTTCAAGATATTTAAGACTAAGATTGAGCAATTTTTAATCTCACGGGCAATCAAGGGGTATGGAGTGATGGCAGGAAAGTGAAACTGAGGCAGAAATCAGAGCTGATCATACTGAACGGTGGAGCTGGCTCAATGCTCAACTCCTGCTGCTGTCTCTCATGTTCATGCCTTTCCCAGGACATGATCTAGTTTGCTGTATGTTGACTCGTCTTTTAATAGTAAGATGTAGTTTTGTGGCTATGACCCTCTGAAAGATTTCTAATTGTACCAATGCCATCCAAGCAGCGACAAAGGGAAAGAGTAAGCAATGCAGGAGCAAGCCAGTCGAGTGGTCCTCACACTAAAAACAAAAAATGCTGGTAATCACAGCGGGTCAGGCAGCATCCGTGGAGAGAGAGCAAGCTAATTTTTTTGAGTCTGGATGACTCTTCATCAGAGCAGAAAGTGGTCCTCATACACATCCACCAGGAAACATAAGGTGACACAGCAGGAGCTACAGGTTTCTTGACTATTCTCTACCCAGGATGAAAAATGAACTAGTGTGAAAATCATTAGTGTGAAAAAGCTTTCAATAAATCACAAAAATTATTTAATGGAACAACTGAGTGATTTTGACCCAGTTTCAGTCAGTACCCTCTCTTAGAAACAGACAGGGGGTGAAATAAAGACTAAATCAGAAAACTTACCTGGGGAGATGGTTTTGTAGAGGTGTCACTGGGCTAGTGATCCACAGGCCTGGGCTACTAGTCTGGGACCTGAGTTCATGGCCCACCTGAACAGCTGGTGGAATGTAGATTCATTTAACAAATCAGCAAGATAAAATTAATCTCAATAATTGGAACCAGGACAACTATCGCTGATTGTTGTTAAAAATGAAGCTGGTTCCTTAATACTCTTCAGGGATGGAAATCTGTCGTCTTGCAGTAACTCCAGATCCATAGCAATAGGTTGTCTCTTAACTGCTCACTGAAATGCCCTAAGAAACCACTCTATTCCAGGGCAATTAGGGACGGGCCACAGCTATTGGCCTTTCTGTCGACTCCCACATCCCATGAATAAATAAAAAACTTGGGTTAATTTACTTGGAAATACATTTTACTGTTTCACTGATGTATTTTTGTGTTCATCAAATGTGAGAGGGGCATTGAAGGGGTTAACCTGTATCTATTTATCTGTTTTAGGAATGGAGAGTGCGATCACACTGTGGCAGTTCCTGCTGCAGTTACTGCTTGATCAAAAACATGAGCATCTGATCTGCTGGACGTCCAATGATGGGGAATTCAAACTCCTTAAGGCAGAAGAGGTTGCTAAACTCTGGGGACTAAGGAAAAACAAAACCAACATGAACTATGATAAACTGAGCCGAGCCCTTCGATATTATTATGATAAGGTACTTACTGTATTGTGAACAGAAGAATATGAATCCAATTTGTTCTGACATACAAACTGGAACTGTGAGCTGGATTAGTTTAAAACCAAATAGATTTCAGAAAGTAATGTAAATAAGAAGGTGTGTTGAAAATAGGCTACAGTACAGTGGGAGTGGGGTACAGCATACTGGGCATGGAGTACAGCATGTTGAGAATGGGGCTAGAATGTATTGGGAAAGAGGTGCAGTATTTTGTGAATGTGGATGCAGTATATTGGGAACATTGCATTTGCTTTGAAGATTGGGTGCTTTTCGGAAAGGGGTGAGGTATTTTGAAGACAGGGTACAGTATATTGGGAATGGGAGTACAGTGTCTTTCTGATGGCTGTATTTATATGCACTGTATCGGTAAAACATTTAATTGATTGGGGATCTGTTGGTATGGGATATAGGCTTGTTTCTGTGCGTGTCAATGGGAATCGGATTCAGCCCCAATGCTCTAGCTATTGAGATCCCAATCCCAGTCTCCTGATGTGATTACTCCACACAAGAAAGGAGGGATTAAATCAATGCGGGAATTTTTTCATGCGGGAGTTTTATGCATTTACATTTGATCCTGACTTTGTGAGATTGGGTGCAGATTAGCAACATATCTTGCCACTGTGTCAGGAAACCCTAAAAATGGAGAGGAGGAAACATCTTTAAGGTGGCGTCTGAGCTCCAGAGGAAAGGAGAATTTGATGGTTTCCTGGTATATAACTGAGATATTTCCTCACAACTAAGGAATGCAGAAATGTAAGAAATAGGAGCTGGAGTAGCCCTTTCAGCCTGTTGAACATTGTCCTATTCAAAAAGATCCTGCTTAGGTTGCACATGAACAACCCCTTTGCACCTAATGGCCTTATCCTAAATTCTTTGAGTGTCCAAGTATTGGTTGGTCTCTGTCTCAAATATAGTCAGGACTGAACCCCCTGGGGTTGAGAATTCCAAAGGTTCACAGCTCTTTGGCTGAAGAAATCCATTCTCAGCTCAGTCCTAAATGATCAACCCCTTATCCCATGTTCTAGATACCCCTGTCAAAGAAAATCTCTCAGTATCTGCCCTGTCAAACCCATTGAGTTTTGTTTCTGTGAGATTTGCTGCCCCCTGCTGTCTGCAATCATTATGTCACTGGCTGAAGGTAACACTACACACGAGCTGAGGTGAGTGCATTCAGTATTTATTTTATAATGGCTAGTTACATACAGCCTGCAAATCTGCAGATGAACAGAAATCTTTCTTCAGCTGAAATTCTTTCTCTGTTCAAATATCAAAATTGCCTGTTGTAATGTGCTGCCAAAGATGTTTAATATTGAGGCAGTAATGAAGGCAGCTTTTTCTCAGAACTGTGTGAAAGCTAAAACAAAATTGTTGATGATGTAATCTGTTCACAACTATACTTCTGATTCTCTTTCAATCATTTACAGTTTGAGGTAACCTGAAAACTAACAAACTGAGGGAAAATTCTCAGCAGCAGGATTCGACTTTTGTTCTACAGGCACTGTAAAATTAATTTTAAAATAGTAAGCCACCCTAAATGTTGAATGGTGTTGGTTTATTCATTTATGGAATGAGGGCATTTTTGGCTAGGCCAGCATTTATTGTCCATCTCAGATTGTCCAGAGGGCAGTTAACTGTTAACCATATTGGATCTGGAGTCACATATAGACCAGACCAGGTAAGGACAGTAGTTACCTTCCCAAAAGGATATTAGTGAAACAGATGGATTTTTTCCAACAATTGACAATGGTTTCATGGTTATCATTGGATTCTTAATTCCAGATTTTTATTGAATTCAAATTCTACTATCTGCCATGGCAGGATTCGAACACAGGTCCCCCAGAATATTCTGCTCTGAAGAAGGGTCACTGGATTCAAATCGATAATTCTACATTCTTACCACAGATACTGCCAGACCTGCTGAACTTCTCCAGCACTTTCTGCTTTTATCCCCAGACCTTTGCTTGGGTTGCTGGATTAATAGTCTGGTGATAATACAACAAGGCTATCACCTCCCCTCTGTGGTGCTGCAGATTAGCTCTGGTTCCAGTGTTTGAACTCAACTGCAGATTACTAAAGGTGTTCTTTAGGTGCTTGCTGGTTGGATCATTGTCTGCATTGGTTTTGACCCTGTCTGCTATCACTGGCAATCATTGACAGTCTACATTCTGACTCTTTGTGGGAAAAGGAAGAAATAAGCTGGTGCAGTTGGAACCCTCCCAGTGAGTAAGGTTTGTAATTTGTTGCACTGGAGTTTTAATTTTCTTTGACTGTACCGAACCTTACCTGGGAATGTGTGATGCAGCCATTACTCCTCAATGCCACAATGCGACTCCCCTGCCCTTCCATTTGGGAATCTGAAAGTACGTTTGCAGCTTTATCCATTAACAAGTTATGGACATCATTCATAAGGGAGCAATATTGGCCATGACTCAAATTCCTTGTAGAGATCTACAGCACAGAAAAAGGTCCTTCGGCCCGTCATGTCTGAAAAAGTCATAAACAACCATGTAACTATTCTAACCTCATTTCCCAGCACTTGGCCCATAGCCTTGTATGCCTTGGCATTGCAAGTGCACATCTGAATACTTCCTCAGTGTTATGAGGGTTTCTTCCTCCATCACCCTTACAGGCAGTGAGTTACAGATTCTCACCACCCTCTGGATGAAAAGGTTTTTCCTCATATCTCCTCTCCCCCTTACCTTAAATCTTTGCCCTCTGACCATTGATCCCATCTGCAAGGGGAAAAGTTTCTTCCTGTGTACCCTATCTATGCCCCTCCTAATTTTATACAGCTCAATTACAAACTATCTCAATCCCCTCTGCTCTAAGGAAAACAACCCCAGTCTGCCCAATTTCTCTTCATAACTGAAACTCTACAGCCTAGGCAGCATCTTTGTAAATCCCCGCTGCAGCCTCTCCAGTGCTACCACATCGCTCCTAAAATGTGGATGCCAGAACCACACACAATAGTGGCACCGTAGGCCATTTCAGAGGGTAGTTCAGAGTCAACCACATTGCTGTGGGTTTGGAGTCGCATGTAAGGTAAGGAAGGCAGATTTTATTTTTGATTCAGTTTCTGGGTGGCTAGTTTCATATAACTCTTTCAAATCCAAATCTATTTGTTGCATTACCATTAAAGCAGATGGGCTAAACATACCAGCTTCATAGAAAGATAGGTACAGGATTCGGCCATTCGGCCCTTCGAGCCTGCTCTGCCATTCAATCATCCAACTCAATACCCTGTCCCCACTTTCTCCTCATACACCTTAATCTCTTTAGGCCTAGGACCTATCTCTAACTCCTTCCTGAAAATATTCAGTGTTTTGCTTTCAAATTCTTTCTGTGAGAGAGAATTCTCTGGGAGAAAAGATTCCTCCTCATCTCAGTCCAAAATGGCCTCCCCTGTATCCTTAACCTGTTTTTGGTCATTGGGAACATCCTTCCTGGGTTTACCCTGAATAGTCCTATTGGAATTTTATAGATTTATATCAGAGCCCCCCTCATTCTTCTTAATTCCAGTGAATATAGTCAAAAACTGAACCAATCTGTTTTCATTCATCAGTCCTGCCATCCCAGGAATCAGTCTGGTAAACCTTTGTTGCATTCCCTTCATAGCGAGAACAGCCTTCCTCAGATAAGGAGACCAAAACTGCACACAATACTCCAGGTATGGTCTCACCAAGACTCTGTACAATTGCAACAAGATATTCCTGCTCCTGTACTTGAATTCTCTCATCATTGAAAGCCATCATATCCTTTGCCTTCTTCACCGCCTCCCGCACTGCTCGCTTAATTTCAACAACTGGTATATAAGGACATCCAGGTCTTGTTTCATCGCTCACCCTTTCCCAATCTATTGTCATTCAGATAATAATCTGCCTCCTGTTTTTCAACCAAAGTGGTCCCTATGGTACTCCACTACTTACAGGTTGCCATCCTGACAGTGATCTCAACTCTGTTTTCTGTTGATTTCTGATGGAGAGTCACTGTTCTTGAAACATTACCTGTGCTTTCTCCCCACGGGTGCTGCCAGACCTGCTGAGTTTCACCAGTAATTTCTGTTTATTCCTCTATCCATGCTAATGTACAAACTCCAACACCATGGACTCGTATCTCATTAAGTAGCCTAATGTAGCCTTATTCAAAGCCTCCTCAAACCCAAATCTATCACATGCAGTGTGTTCCCTTTATCTATCCTTTTGCTACCTCTTCAAAGAATTCTAATAAATTGTCAGGCATGAATTCCTCTTCATGAAGCCTTGCTGTGCTATTACATCCTATCCCATATTATATACTCTAACACTTTCCCAATAACAAACGTTAAACTCAACTGGCCTTTAGTTACTGAATTTTTTGTCTCCTTTGCTTTTTAAATAAAGGTGTTTTTTTTTCAGTCCTCTGCGACTTTTCCAGAATCTAATGGTTTTTGGAAAGTTACTACCAGTGCATCCATTATCTTAGTAGCTATTTCTTCCAATATCCAAGGATGAAACCATATCAGATTTTAGCCCCATTAGTTTCCCTAGCAATTTTTCCCTGGTGATAGTTATTGTATTTAGAGTGATTGAGTCATACAGCATGGAAACAGGCTGTTTGATCCAACTTGTCTGTGCCGACCAGATTTACTAAACTGAACTAGAAGTCTAAGAGAAGGTTGCATTCAGCTCCAGATGGTATTGGCCAACTGGGAGTCCAGACAGTGGGCAATAACCTTGAGGGACCCTTGTACCTATATCAATCATTGCAAACAACGTGGTTTGCAGTATTCCTCTTGGGGAATTAAGGTAGCCTTTCTAAATCCGTTAGAGTAAAACCAAAACTTCCCAATCCAGAAAGTACTAAGTAGTTTTTGAAATTATGTCTTAGGTACTGTTTGAGATATAAATACTGACTTGGGCACAAGGACAATATGCTGTTTGTTTTGTAAATTGTGCTGCACATACACCTCAGAGGACAGAAAGGCATTTGGATAACATATT